TGCCCCAGCTCTGGCTTCTCCTCGAGCTGCTGCGGTCGCTGCCAGAAACAGAAGAGGAGGTATTTTCCCAAACGGTGATTGCGCTCAGGGGGTGCTACTTGTGTTACCTAAGGAGCTTGCTCTTGTGTTTGCGCCCTAGCGGCGGTCTCCTCGTGGGCGTTCGTGGGTGCCCCGTGCACTGGGGAGATCTGCCCAAATCTTGCCACGTTCGCGCCCATGCCGCCTTGCGAGCGCTCGCGGGCGCCACAAAGCTTACCAAACGTAGCTTATACCGCATACTTTACGCCGCATATCGTTCATAACATAGCCTATGCCATATTGCTCACATGGCCTATACCATATAGCTCGCCATGTAGCTGCCACCTCCTGCTCACATTGCGTAACTTGAACACAACGTAACTTCCACCTCCATGGTGCAACAACTTACAATTTGGGGTTCACGACGGCTGACATATTCCTGATTCGCTTCTTGCTTTCTCTTTCGCACCCCATGTGCAAAAAAACAATCACGTATTTCATCCCACTTTTTCACCCCCCAAAAGGTTGCTCGAAATACCAACAGTTGTAAGCCGATCCGCGGGCGAGAAATTAATGGACGCAGGCGGGAAGTGGAATAGGAGGGGCGATGATCGAGGGTAGTTGATGAAGGGGTAACATGAAAATGGGGCCGCAGAAAAGGAGATTCGGGATAGGACAGGGGTCACAGACACGATGTTGTCGCCAAAGCTCATCCTTCTCGTAGCTACCTTCCACCACTCCCACCCGTGCCTCGAGGCAGGGACAATCAGAGGAAGTGGAGGGGACTTGGGGGGCGAGGGAGAACAGACGAGGGAGGACGCTGCTCATGCCTTTGCGCTGGTTCAAAGACGGAAGCGACGAGTGTCACTGAGGGGGGGGTGGATGCACCCCCCCTCAGTGGCACCTCAAGTTGACCTGAGGTGTCGTTCGCCCCCCCCCCCCCGTGGTACATCCCCAAGCCAGGCGCAAGTGCCCAAAGCGATGCGAAAGACATTGCGTCTTGGTGCCCAGGGGGGGGCGAGTGACACTCCAAGTCGACTTGAGGTGTCACTGAGGGGGGGGCATTCACCCCCCGCAGCAACATGCGTACCTCTATGCGTGCCAATTGCTGCAGAAGTTTGCTTGAAACCCGCACACACCACTAAGCCCACATTCTGCTGGATGCTTCCTCCAACGCAGCTTGACCCGATGACCCGACCCCCAACGCAACTGTCTCATTGCCCCCTCCCCCGTAACGACAGTCAAGTTGACTCGGCGCATCACGATGGAAAGGACGGGAGCAGCGAAGGTCGGGCAACTCGGAAGGCCCCCCCCCGCAACGACACTCAAATCAACTTGGCGCGTTACTAGGGCGCAAAGACGGGAACAGCGAAGGTCTGGCAATTCCGAAGGACCCCCCCGTAACGACAGTCGAGTTAAGTTGGCGCGTCACTGGGGCGCACAGACGGAAGCAGCTAAGGTCCTGCAACTCCGAAGCCCCCCCCCCCGCAACGACAGTCAAGTTAACTCGGTGCGTCACTATAGCGCAAAGACGGGAGCAGCGAAGGTCCGGCAACTCGGAAGGCCCCCCCCGTGACGACACTCAAATTTGCCTGGTGCGTCATTGGGGGGGGTGCAAAACCGGGAGCAACGAAGGTCCGGCAACTCCGAAAGCCCCCCCCCGTTACGACAGTCAAGTTAATTTGGCGCGTCAATCGGGCGCCAAAACAGGGGCAGCGAAGGTCCGGCAACACCGCAGGCCAACGACGTTCAAGTCATGTTGTCGCGTCACTAGGGCGCAAAGACGGGGTCGGCGAAGGTCTGACAATTCCGAAGGCTCTCCCCGTTACGACATTCAAGTCAATTTGGCGCGTCTTGAGGGCGCACAGACGGGGGCAGCGAAGGTCAGGTAATTCCGAAGCCCCCCCCGCAGCGACACTCAAGTTTGCCTGGCGCGTCACTAGGGCGCAAAGACGGGAGCAGCGAAGGTCCTGCGACTCCGAAGGCCCCCCGCAACGACACTCAAGTCAACTTGGCGCGTCACTCGGGCGCAAAGACGGGAGCAGCGAAGGTCCGGCAACTCCGAACCCCCTCCCCCCCGCAACAGCACTCAAGGTAGCTCGGCGCCTCACGAGGGCGCGAAGACGCGAGCGGCGAAGGCCCTGAAACTCCGAAAAAGCGCGTTCTGATGTGATGTCGCTTGGAGGGGGGGGGGTAGGAACATGACCCGCCCCCCTTTCCCGTACTTTTCCTCTCTACGTTTCCTCGAGCCCGCGCCTGCGTCTGCTGCGGCTGGCGGCGGCGGCGGGGGCGACGACTGCTTTTCTGGGCCGGCGGCGGTGGGGAGCGTCGACGAGGACGACGGCGACGACGACGATGACGACGACGACGACGACACTCCGCCACCGTGCCTTGGTTTTGGGTCACAGGCCTCATGGATGCCTCTTGGGGTCTCGTCGGAGGGTTCTCGCGGGCCTCTGAAGGGCATTTGTGAACCCTCCTGGGCGCCTCTTGGGTGTAACTTGGGGCCTCTCTGGGGTGGTGGTGGTGGGCTCTGGTGGTGGTAGTGGTTGTGGTTATGGCGGAGATGATGGTGGCGGTGGTGGTGGTGTGGTGGTTGGTGGTGGTGGCGGTGGTGGTTGTTGTGGCGGTTGTGGTGGCAGGTTGTGGTGGTGGTGGTGGCGGTGGTGGTGGTGGTGGTGCGGTGGTTTCTGGTGGTGGTGGTGGTGGTTGTGGTGGTGGTGGGTTAAGGTGGCCTTGATTTGTGGTGGTGGTGGCGGTGGTGATGGTGGTGTGGCGGTTTGTGGTGGTGGTGGTGGTGGTTTGGTGGGTTGTGGTGGTTGTGGTGGTTGTAGCGTAGCGGTGGTGGTGTGGTGGTGTGGTAGATTGTGGTGGTTGTCAGTGGTGGTGGATTGTTGTGGTGGTTGTGGTGAGTTGTTGTGTTGTTGGTGGTGGTGGTGGTGGGTTGTTGTGGTGGTGGTGGTGGTGGTGGTGGTGGTGGTGGTGGTGGTGGTGGTGGGTATGGGTGTTGTTTGTGGTGGTGGTGTGCTGGGTGGTGGGTAAGGCTGTGGGGTTTGTGTGTGGTCTGCTGCTGGTAGTGGTGCTGGTCGTGATGGTTGGTGGTGGGTGGTGGGTGGCGGTGGTGGTAGTGGTGGTGGTGTGGTGGTTGGGGTTTGTGGTGGTTTGTGGTGGTGGTGGCGGCGGTGGTGGTGGTGGTGGTGATGGTGGTGTGGGGGGGGGGTGTTGTGGTGATGGTTTTTGGTGGTGGCGGTGGTGGTGATTGTGCTGGTAATGGTGTGGTGGTTTTTGGTTTTTTGGTGGTGGTGGTGGTGGTGGTGGTGGTGGTGGTGGTGGTGGTGGTGGTGGTGGTGGTGGTGGCTCTTGGTGGTGGTGGTGGTGGTTGTGGTGGGTTGTCGTGGGTTGTGGTGGTGGTGGTGGTAGTCGCCGGCGCCGGCGCGCGGGGGGGGAGAGGGGA